AGTCCATTGACATCTAAAGTAGCTATTGATAAGAATGCATTTATTGGCACTTTGTTACTTTTTTTCTGGGTCTTTTAGTTCTCTGTTCCTTTCTTCTTCTCTTGCTGTCTTCCCTTGTGGTTTGATGGTTTTCTTTAGTATTATGTTTGGGTTCCTTTCTCTTAATTTTTTTTCTTTTTATAGGTTTCTGGTTTGTGATTACCATGAGGTTCATATATAATAACCTACAGATATAGCAATCTATATTAAGTTGACAGTCTCTTAAGTTTGACCTCTTGCTAAAAGCTCTACTCTTTTACTCCTCTCCTCCCACATTTTATATTTTTGATATCGTATGTTACCTCTTTTTTGTGCATTTGTATCCTTTACCTCTTGTCATGGAAATACATAATTTTAGTACTTTTGTCTTTTGACTTTCATCTTAGCTTCATAGGTGGTTGCTTTGCTACATTTGCTGTATACTTGCCTTTACCAGTGATTTTATTGCTTTTTTTAAAAAAATAATTTTCTTATTACTATTTGTGGTCTTTTCTTTTCCACTTAAATAATTCCCTTTAGCATTTCTTGTAAGACTGGTTTCTTGGTGATAACTTCCTTTAGTTTTTGCTTGTCTAGGAAATCCTTTATCTCTCCTTCCATTCTGAATGATAACCTTGCCAGGTAGCGTATTCTTGGCTATAGGTTTTTTCCTTTCAGCACTTTAAATATGTCATGCCACTCCTTTCTAGTCCATAAGGTTTCTGCTAAGAAGTCAGCCAATAGCATTATGGGGTTTACTTCATATGTAACTTGTTGCCTTTCTCTTGTAGCTTTTAGGGTTCTCTCTTTATCTTTAACTCGTAACATTTTAATTATAACATGTTTTGGTGTTGACCTCTTTGGGTTTATCTTGTTTGGTGCTCTCTGAACTTCCTGTACCTGGATGTCTGTTTCCTTCCTTAGGTTAGGAAAGTTTCCAGCTATTATTTCTTCAAATAGATTCTCTGCCCCTTGTCTCTCTCTTCTCCTTCTGAGACAACTATAATACTGATGCTAGTGCACTTGATGTTGTCTCAGTCCCAGGGTCCCTTAGACTGTCCTTGTTTTTCTTAATTCTTTGTTCTTTTATTTGTTCATTTTGGGTGATTTCCTCTAGTCTTTTGTCCAGATTGCTGATACATTCTTCTGTATCATCTGCTCTGTTATTGAGTCCCTCTAGTGAATTTTTCATTTCCAGTTTTGTATTCTACATTTCTGATTGGTTCTCTTTTATATTTTCCAATTCTTTGTTGAAGTTCTCACTGAGTTCATTCATTCTTCTCCCAAGATCAGTGAGCATTCTTATGACCGTTAATTTGTCCTCTTTGTCAGGTAGATTGTTTATCTCTGTTTTGTTTAGTTCTTTTTCTGAGGTTTTGTCCTATTCCCTTATTTGGAATGTATTCCTTTGTCTCCTCATTTTGGCTCTTTCTGTGTGCTTATATCTATGTATTAGGTAGGTCAGCTAGGTCTCCCATTCTTGGAGATGTGGCCTTATGTAAGAGATGCCTTATGAGGCCCAGCAGTGTGCTTCCCTCTTGTCACCAGTTCCAAATGTTCTAGGAGTGTCCCCTGTGTGGGCTATGTGTGTCCTTCTGTTGTGGCAGGGTTGCTCTTGCTGAAGGTGCCCAGGGAGGCTAGACTGTCCCCCTGGCTGGCTTATTGTAATGCTCAGATGCCTATGGCTGCTCTGGTCCCTTCAGTCACTTAATCATGCATGAAGAGCCCCAGCGTAGTTGGCTGCAAGGTCTAATAACACATTCCTCTTGCAGTTTTTCTGTTAAGTGAGTAGACCCCCACTGAGGATGCTTGCTAGGCTCAGGGGCTTACAATTGCTATAGGCCTCCAGCCTGCAAGGCTGTTCTTAGCTCTCTCAGGAGGGCAGCTGAGTGGGGCCAGCCCCAGGCATGGGAAAACCCAATTGTTTCAGTCTTTTGAAAGTGGGGCCAATCCCCTATCTGACTGTTTGAGAAGCAGAAGTCTGCTGCAGCTGATAAGCCCCACAACCCACAGGGCCACACGCCCTGTCAGCACAGTCCTACCTCATGTGCATGCCCCAACCTACTGAAGCGGACTCAGTCACCTTGCTGCAGAGGCCCTGCACACTCCACCAACACAGGCCCACACCTTGCACATGTCCTTCCTTGCAGAGGTGGACCCACTTGCCTGGCTGCAGAGGTTCCAGGCACCTCACCTATGTGGGTCCACAACTTGCCCAAGGGCTTGCTGTTGGGTGAGGCCAGTCCCTAGGGTGGGCTGCCTGCCCTAGCTGAGCTGAATTAAATCAGTGCTGTAGTGGCTGGGGCAGACTCCTGTGGTAACAGGCCAGGGGAATAACTCAGTGACATCTGCCAGTGTCTGTGTCAGCAGGCCTGTACAAGGTCACAATAATGGCTGCTGCCAATGTCTCAGTCCCTGTGGAGGTCATCCCAGCCTGGGGAGGTCTCCCCACTCACAGAGATGTGCCCACAGCTTATCAAATGAGTCTCTTTCACCAAAGGATTGTGCACTTTTCTTCCTGCTGATTTTAGGTTGTTTTCCGAAATGGGTGAATTTGTGCATGGGCCCTTTAAGAGCAGGCTTTCTCCCTCTATGTCCAATAGCTTTTCTGGGAGTATTCCTCCATTGTTGTTAATAGCCAGCAAACCCAGTTACTATGACACTTGTCTCGATCATGTTGAGTTCAAAAGCAACTTATTGTGGTAAAGCTCTCCTGCTCAGCTCCCCCACTTCTCCAGGGAAGGCTTCATACCTTAAGAATGCTCTTGGCTGGCTGTGAAGTGCTGTGGGTCAAAGGTGATTTTTTTCTCTCCAGAAAGGAGTTTCTGCCTCTTCCACCTCAGTCAGTACTGTCCCTTCTTGTGGGGGTTCTTTTTATCCAGTTTGCAGTTCTCTCTCAGGGATAATTATTCCAAGAGTAATTGCAAATTTGTTGTGTCCATGGGAGGAAGTGAGTTCAGAGTCCATCTACACTGCCATCTTGACATGAGATCAAGAAAACCTTTTTAGATACAACATTGGAGACATAATCCATGAAAGAAATAACTGATAAGCTGGACTTTGTTAAAATTAAAAACTTCTGCTCTGCAGAAGACAATATCAAGACAATGATAAGATAAGCCACAGACTGAGAGAAAGTATTTTCCAAAGATACGTCTGGGTGGTCGGCCCCATGGCTGAGTGGTTAAGTTTGTGCACTCTGCCTTCCGCAGCCCAAGGTTTCACTGGTTCAGATCTTGGGTGAAGACATGGCACCGCTCATCAGGCCACATTGAGGTGGCGTCCCACATGCCACAACTAGGAGGACCCACAACTAAAAATATACAACTATGTACTGGGAGGATTGGGGGAGAAAAAACAGGGGGAAAAAAAAGAAGAAGATTGGAAACAGTTGTTAGCTCAGATGCAAATCTTTAAAAAAAAAAAGAGAGATACATCTGATAAAGGACTGTTATCCAAAATATACAATGAATTCTTAGAACTCAACAATAAGAAAAACAACCTGATTAAAAAATGGGCCAAAGAGTTTAACAGACACTTCACCAAAGAAAGTATACAGATGGGAAATAAGCATATGAAAGATGCTACACATCATATGTCATCAGAGAAGGGCAAATTAAAACAAAATGTGATACCACTAAACTATTAGAATGGCCAAAATCTGGAAAACTGACAACACCAAATGATGGTGAGCATTTGGAGCAATAGGAGCTCTCATTCATTGCTGGTGGGAATGCAAAATGGTACAGCCACATTGGAAGACAGTTTGGTGGTTTCTTAAAAAACTAAACATGCTCCTACCATGCAGTTCAGCAATCATGCTCCTTGGTATTTACCCAAAGGAGTTGAAAACTTATGTCCACACAAAAATCTGCACATGGGTGTTTATAGCAGCTTTATTCATAATTATCAAAACTTGGAAGGAACCAAGATATCCTTCTGTAGATGAATGGATAAATAAACTGGGGTACATTCAGACAATGCAATATTATTTAGTGCTAAAATGAAATTAGCTATCATTCCATGACAAGATGTGAAGGAAACTTTAATGCATATTACTAAGTGAAAGAAATCAATCTGAGAAGGCTACATACTGTATGAGTCCAAATATCAGATATCCTGAGACAGGCAAAATTACAGAGAAGATAAAAAGATCAGTGATTTCTGGGCTGAGGGTGAGGGTGGGAAGACATGTATAGGCAGAGCACAGAGGACTTTTAGGGTGGTGAGAATAGTATGTATGATATTATAATGATGGATATATTCCATTATACATTTGTACATACACATAGATTGTGCAACATCAAGAGTGAACCCTAAGGTAAACTATGGACTTTGGGTAATTATGATGTATCAATGTAAGTTCATCTTTGATAAAAAAAAAAATGTACCATTCTCGTGAGTGATGTTGATAATGGCGGAGGCTATGCGTTTGTGGGGGCAGGATGTATATGGGAAATCTCTGTACCTTCCTCTCAATTTTACTGTAAACCTAAAACTTCTCTAAAAATATTGTCTTTAAAAAATCTGATGTTTTTGACTTACAACTTGGGCAATAAGTGAGGTTATTGTTACTAACTTGCGGCGTTTTCCAACTGGCAAAATTCTAAGAAAACAGATGGAAGTTCTAAATTCATGTACACATCTTTCAAAGTATTTAAAAGCAAAGTAAAAATGTATCTTGAGGAGTGTTCAATGAGGTTAGAACATTTTTTTCGCTGTATCTTTTAGAAAACATTCAATTCCAGGGGATCTCAGTTTAATGATTTCCTGCTCATTTACTACCCAGTTCATCTTCTTTCCTATGAGATAGAACTTCCTGTCTCATCTCCAGGCAAGACACAGGGCAGTTGTCACAAGGACCACGTTATTGTTTTGTTGCCTCTTCTTGAGGTTGATATGGTAGGATTCTGACTTCCTCCTGGGCAGTTGAGTCCAGGCAGAAGTCTCCTGACCCGTTGTCTTGTCTTTTTTTTGTACAGATCGGAAACAACAGCACTGGAAGGAGGAAGCACACAGCTTTTTGGTAAGTAATTGATATTCCTCAAAATTCTCCCTTTTAGTGATATTTATGACCTGGAGGGCCAGCACTCTACTTTGTTATCGCAATTTGTGAATCAAATTATAATAGCCTAGGTATGTTTAGCCCTAGGCTAGGATTAGTGCAGAGGGAAGCTAATAGTATTGATAAATAAGCAACTATATTTGGCCCTCTGGATTTCCCTTGAAAATGGATTCTTGGTAGTAATAACTTTTCAGTGGTAGAGTTGTTTAGTAAAGAAGTTTACTTACGGAATTATCTTTGTTGAGCTCCTCGGTGATGAGGAGCATACCATAACTATGAAAGTACCGTGGAACAATAAATATGTGAAGAATCTATTTTGTAAGTAATTGTGTATTTAGAAGCCCAGATGTAAATGGAATTCTCTAGAAATGGGACACTTACTGATCTAAATTTACTAATAATTAAAATAAAATATTTATATTTAATAATTATAATATAAAAGTAAAGCAATTTTAAGATATTTCCACCTTTAAATTTCATCACTAAATGATCTAGACCAGATTGGAGTTCTTTGAATATGCATGTAATTCTTCCCAAATTCCTTTGAGTTTCTATTAATATAAAATGATTTAAAAAGACTTATGTTTTAGCTCCTGACTAGGACATCCACCTCTTTTTTGGTTTAACTCTTTTTTAAGATGAAATACAATTCTAAACTTGCTGGAGAATGCAAGGGACATGTTTTTTTCACAGCCATCTGTCAAGGACACATCTTTTGTGACTCTATGGATATAACTGAAATTCTGGTAAATTTTCAGAAAATATTAGCGTATTAATTTAAATGCTATTATTTTTCTATGAGCCAAACAATAATAATAATAATCGCTATTCTCCCCAGTATGTACTTTCTCCTCCTTCCAATGATCTTGCCACTGTCTGAAACATTGCTCATGACCCATTAGTCACCATTGTCCTTTTTGGTGACCATTGCCCTTCTCTCTTTCCTTCTGTAGTTGTGAAAATCCATTGTCCTAATTGTCTAATTTACTGACAAAAAAATTAGTTTTGGTGCACACCGTACCCATTTAGATGTCTTCATACATAAATTCCTGTTGTCTCAACATATATGGACTAAAGGCATCCATTTATTGATGAGACAGACTGTATGACAGGTAATAAGACTCCTACATTGCCTTCCATGGTAAAGAATGCTTTATTGACCACAACATTTGATGTGTCACTGACAATTTTAAGTGACATTTTTCATACTCAAACTTTTAATTGATGGTTTACAAAACTGGTGTCCCTACGGTGTTGACAAAAATGGGTGGATTTTTACCATCTTCAAAAGCTGACAAGTACCTTTTCTAGTAAAACACTTCTGATCCTGCGATTAGGGGCCTCCCCATCGTAAAAGGTGTCTAGAAAGATCCTGGATTGTTATTAAAAAAAGGTGTGTTATGAGAGAATTTTTCACTGATTGAAAGACTGGGTTAGATAGATGAACTCTATAGTCTCTTGTAATATAAAACTTGATACTTCTTATGGAAAATGATACTAGCTGTGTCACCAATGACTGAATTTGATAATTTGAGTCTTGTTAAGCATTATAGAAATTCTTACCCTGAACAAAATCAGAGACAGAGCATAGTGGGGAAGAGGGCATGCTCTGAACTCAGATGGCCTGGATTTGAATCTTGTCTCTGACACTTACTAGCTATTTGACCTTAGACTCATTACTTAACCCTTATGTGCCTCACTTTCCTCACTTGTTGAATAGTGATAGTAATAGTACCTTATAAAGCTGGTGCAAGGGTTTAATGAGTTAATATGAATATAGCTCTTAGAACAATATCTAGTATATAGTTTGGCACTCCATAAATGTTAGTTATGAATGGTGTTGAATGAATGATATTGTCATCAGCTGGGGCATCTGTGACTCTTGGAGATTTTTATGCATTTTTACCAATCCCTCAAATTTATGGCCACTCTTAAAGAGTGGAGTGCATCTGGCAATGATTTCTATGAATTCCCATCTTACTTCTTCAGGTATCCTATGTACCGTCTTGGTTCCATCTGAAGCCAACTTGAAGGCAAAGTTTAGACTCTCTACTACTTTCTACTTATACCAACATTGTGAGTGCCGCTTCTTCTATCATATTGCTCTCCTCCATTTTCCAGGCTCCATCTTCATCTTCCTCTCCTTGTCTCACGCAGGTCTTTCTGCATACATGCCAACACTTCTGGATCTCAGGCTTTACAACAAAGAGGCTTATTATGGTATTTTTATAGCAAAGCTAGACGTTTACCCAAGAGAAAGTCTGGAACTTGCTACTAGGATAATAAAATGTCCTCCAACTTGGTGTCAAAGCATATTAGTAATTTTCATCTTTACCAATGTCATTAAGTAATAGTAAAGGACCTTTGCTTATATAGTCACTCTGATATAGGCATAGTTCTTAGTCCAAGTGTGTGCAGCAGGAGCAAAGAGTTCATGTTTAGTTCTCATTCACACATGCCTAAACTTCTGACCCCGTGATTATTTTGAGTTCTTCACAGAATTTTCTTTTCACTTTTTTTTATTGTGATAAAATACACATGCCATAAAACTTACCATCTGAAACATCTGAACTTTAAGTGTAAAGTTCCATAGTATTAAATACATTCATATTGGTGTACAACCATCAGCACCGTCCATCCGCCTAACTCTTTTCATCTTGTATAAGTGAAACTTTATACCCTTTGAAAAATAACTCTCCATCCTCCCCTCCCCTGCAGCCCCAGGCAATCACCATTATACTTTCTGTTTTTATGATTTTGACTATTCTAAGTACTTTATGAGTGAGATCACACAATGTTTATCTTTTTGTGACTGGCTTATTTCTCTTAGCATAATGTCCTCAAGGTTCACCCACGTGGTATCATATTGCAGAATTTCTTTCCTTTTTAAGGCTGAATAATATTCCATTGTGGATACACACACCACAGTTTGCTTATCAATTAATCCATCAATGGACACTTGGATTGCTTCCGCACTTTACCTATTGTAAATAATGCTGCTATGAACATAGATGTACAAATATCTTTTCAAGACCCAGCTTTCAATACTTTTGGGTATATACCCAGAAGCAGAATTGATGGATTGTATGGTAATTCTATTTTTAATTTTTTGAGGAAGCACCATACTATTTTCGACATTGGCTGTACCACTTTACATTCCTACCAAGAGTCTTCACAAAATTCTTAAGTACAGAATGCTTGTCTAATTATTTTGACATATTCCTACTGGGCAGTAAATATTGTGAAGTTTTATGTGACTACTTTTTGAACACTAGGTTATATTTTTCCTATTTTTTTTATTGCTGTGCCTGTAAGAGTTATGTCCTAAGACCTACTTAATGCTAATTTATGTTACCAGGTGATTCAGAATGTCAATAGAATTTTCCAGAACAGAAACATGTGGGGCCAAGTCTTATACCTCTAATGGAAAAACAACTTGGACTCAAAAGATTTCTTAGCTTATTTTAGAATAAACTCTATGTTAAAATCCTGGCAGTGCTGGCAGTGAAGGAATAAATGATCACATATGTTTTCTTCTTGAAGTCTCATAATTTTTCTGCACAAAATATATCAGTGTGAACAGGAATGGGAACAACTGGATTACAAAGAGAGATTTGGTTAGCTGAAGAAATACTTATACAGAGGTTATTCTTTGAAACAGAGTCTTCAAGCTTTTCAAATTATTGGGAAGGCAAGTTAACATTTGAGCTATTATTTTTTCTGGTTAATAATATTTGTGTTTTCTTAAATTTTGGTTCAAAAATATGGATATAGCTTTCTAAGGGACAGAATCCAATTCCAGAACTGATAGGTATTAGCCAAAAATCTCAAAATCTTTTGAGTTGATTTCCACAAATTAATGGAGCACTTCCCCCCACCTCAATTTTTTTATTTATTATTTGTAGAGAGTGAGGAGAAGGGGAAAAAGGAATACTCTTACTCAGGGAACAAAATGTTTTGTTGCCAGACATTTCATTCCCCCTTAGTTTCTTATTCTCAGTAAAAATGGCAATGTCTTTCCTAATAAAATCACCTTCTACCTAAAGTATTCAAAAAGAAGATAGACTACTTTAGGTCTATGTCAGTTTACTTTACACAGGAATAACTTAAACATAATTTAAAGAAATTTAGAAAAAACTTTTGTTAATAATTAGTGAGACACAAGGATAGGCCGGCCTGGTGGCGTAGAGATTAAGTTCATATCTTCTGTTTTGGAGGCCTGGGGTTCGCAGGTTCAGATCCTGGGCATGGACCTAACACCGCTCATCAAGGCATGCTGTGGCAGTATCCCACACAAAGTAGAGGAAGATTGGCACAGATGTTAACTCAGCACCAATCTTCCTCAAGCAAAAAGAGGAAAATTGGCAACAAATGTTAGCTCAGGGCAAATCTTCCTCACCAAAAAAAAAAAAAAAAAACCAGTAGTGATAATAATTAGTGAGGCACAAGGAGCTCTTATCAGGCTATGCTAGGCTACACTTTGGTAGCTAATTAACCCTGAAATCTCAGTGGCTTAACACAGCACACTTTCATTTCTTATTCACACTATATGTTCCGTGCTGCTTGACATGAGAAGGGGAGGGTGCCTCTACTCCACATGGTCACTCAGGGCACTCAGTCAATCAGGTACAGATGATGGAAGCTCCATCACCTTATGGCATCACCATGGCAACAGGGAGCTTCAGGGTTTGCCATTAGAGGGGAAGAGAGAGTGTGGAGCACCTGTACTCTTCTCTAGACTGGAAGTGATACACGTTACCTCCAGCCAGAGCCCATTGACCAGAACTAGTCACACGGCTTCTCCTAATGACATGGGGCTGGAGGTTTACCAGATGGCCTGGAGAAGAGAGAAAAACTAGACTTAGTGAGCACCAGCAATTTCTTCTTTGATAAATTTTATTGGAAATTCTTGCATTAGGCATCTCTACAAAACAACTTTCCTCCCTAAATTAGTCGCATTT